GCGTCGCCCAACTCGCGGCTCTCGACGTCGCTGCCCGACGAGCTCCAGCAGCTCCCACTGGGCCACTATGTGGCGCGCGATGTGCTCTTTGCGCACGCTTCGCCGCTGACAACAGCGCTGGCGTCGGGACACCCGCGTCTCTTTAATATCCTCTTGGCCTACGACGGGGACCCGCGCTTGGAGATGCCGGTACCTCCGGACACGACAACGATGCCTCGAACTCTCTACTAGGCGATCCAAAAGCAGCTTGTGGAGCATGCGAACCACTGCATGAAAATCGCGTGGGAGGTCCTGGTCGCGATGCGTCCGGTCGAGTCCCAGGACCTTCATAATGCGCGAACGCTAATAAGCATCTATAGACAAAGCAAAACCCGCTCGAAGCTGCCATCTTCACCAACTCGCTCGGGCTTGTCAAGCTCTACACGACGCTCCAAGAGGGCATGCATGACATTCCGGTACCATCCCGCATCTCGTGAGGATACGAAAGTGACGTTCTAGGGGGGTGTCCGCCCCTTTTGCTCGCTGTGCGCTACAATCAGCCTAAGATGGTCCAGTACTTGCTGCCAACTTCGGACATTGACGCGATCACTGCCGTAGTACGCATGTGTCTCTCGGTTGGTCTGAACAGCTCCGGTTAGGACGGTGATTACGCTCTCTACAGTGCGGCCTCGAATGGCTTCTTGGAGATTGTGCAGCTTCTTGTTGAGCATGGCGCCACCGTCGCGCCAACCAACGTGGTATGAGACTGCGCGATAATCACCGATGACGCATGCGCGTCTAGGGCGAGGACCTTCCCATTAAGGGCGCGTACGACAGAGGCCACGACGATGTTGTCGTCTATTTGGCTGCCAAGATGGACAACGTCGACATTTCATACGTGCGCCTCGATGCAATGCAGTCTTCATAGCACTGTTGTCATAGAGCGGAGAACCCCTCTTGCTTCGCGCTTGCGGCAACGGTCGTGTCTCGGTCGTCGACGCACTTCTCCGCGCCGGTGCCGACTGCAATGTGACTGAATCGGTGCGTCGTTGCCTCAATGTGCCTCGTAAAGTTTGCGTCATGTAGAAGGGAATCACACCGCTCATGGCCGCCGCGTACTTGGGTCACCCAGCGATCGTGGCGCGCCTACTGCAAGAGATGTCGATCAATGTTGACGCAGCAGACGAGGTGCGCTTCATTACATTATATTCGTGCTCGATGGCCTGTCATGCGCTAGCGCAGATCGGGCGAACAGCCATCTTTTGTGTGGTGAAGTCGCCTCTACCAGACGACGCTCAACTGGCCATCACGTCGATGCTCTTGGCGGCCGGTGCCAACGTGCACGCTGCGACCAATGTCAATGTACAAAAATGTCATCTCGACTGGCGACAGCATATAATGATGCTTTGTAGGCGGACCCGACGTTGTTTGCGCAGGCCATTGTAGCTGGCCGGCGCGGCGTCGCCGAGTTGCTCTTGCCGTACTTTGACATCCACGAGGGCTCTTTGTGTTATGATGAGACGCAGACGCTTCAAGTACGCAGCGACATCAATCAAGAAACCCAACTGCCATCTCTCTTGCTAGCATGCCTCGTACCTCCGGCTCGCCATCCTGCACCGCCAACCGCACATCGTGTCGTGGCTCATCCCGCTCGGTGCCGATGCCAACCTAGAAACTGTCGAAAATCTGCTGTTGCGTCTTTCCCTCTGACACCAATCGCGATTAGGACGAACATCTTCCGTTATTTGACGCAGTCATGCACAGCGACGCACGCACGGTCGCGGCGCTGCTTCCCCACGTCAAGGACTTGGAAGCCATCAATCCGGTCAGTACACCTAACCTCGCCACCATTGTTTTTTCTGAAAAATAACTACCTAGTATGGACACACGGCGCTGCTCGTTGCGACCGTCCATGCGAACGTGGAGATGCTACAGCTTCTCGCTGCTCATGGCGCCAACGTTGCATACGTTGACCAGACATCGGTATGCATTGTAAACAGCGATGTCCGCGTATTTTTGGAGTAGGAGCCGACCATATGGGAGCCGACGACAGCCATCGCACTGGCGAGTAGCTTGGGTCATGCGGCCGTGGTGCGCTGCCTGCTATAGCTGGGTGCGCCGATCGACGTCCCAAACGTGCGCTCTCGCTTCTGACGTTTTTGGGTACTGAGAGAGGATGCTGTAGACAACACAGAAGGGGTCGATGGCGCTGGCACATGCTGTGACCCGCGGCCACGGCGATGTCCTTCGCGCGCTCCTACCTCTTGTGGATGTACACGCGACTATCGTGGTCGACGCCCCGATGAGTGAAACCGGCCCAGATCAAGCCCTTTTGAACCTGGCGATGACGATGCCACTGCACGCGGTTGTCGCGTGCGAAGCCATGGAGTCCGTCGAGGGCCATGGTGACTATATGGATGCTCTCCGTGCGCTTCTTGAGTGTCCGTCCATCGACGTCAATGGTCGCTCTGAGGTACGACAGGCGTGTTTATTTTGCAGATTTCGAGATTGGAGTGTACAAAATGTAGGAGGCCAATGGGGCGACGGCCTTGTACTGTGCGTGCGAACGCGGCAACCGCAGCTTGGTGCGCGCGATCTTCGAGCACCCGGACTGCGATATCAACGCGGCCGACAATGTACGATCCATTGGATATGCAACGAGAGATTGGACACGTTGTCGTGTACTAGGATGGCAACACGCCGTTGCACACGGCCTCTCGAAAGGGTTTGCCCATCATGGTTTCGTACTTGCTGGCGCAGCAGCCACGGATCAACATTCTTGCTGAAAACAAGGTAACCATTATGTACCCAAGGGAAACGATGCTCATCTCACTTGTGCAATAGGAGGGCATGACGGCATTGCAAGTCGCAATCATGCATGCCAAGCGCGACGTGGTGGCACCGATTGTGCCTTGAACCAGCGCTCGTCGTACACGCCTTGACCAATAAGTCAAGTACGCCGCCTAGTTGATGCTCTCTCCACTAACACAGTCGACGACGACTCGTTGAATGGTGGGGCTATGACCAACGTGTGGATGTTGAATCCAAGAAACGAAACAGTAGGTATAAGACTTGAGTGACATTCGCCTCGGTAATAATGAGCCACAAAACTACTTGGCAACAAGTCTTCTACAGTGCAGCCACGTCGCTTGGTGCCGCGCTGACCGCAACGTCGTTCTTACATTGGATGGACCCATGGATCTCTCGTCAAAATGCAACAGCAGACAGATAGAACAGACAACGTTCTCGTAACGTCGTCGCAACGGAAACGACAGCAGCATCTTGCACACAAGTCGTTCAATAGCAGCGTCAACCCGTCACATTAGCGCTCATGCAAATTCAAGTTCGCCCATCCGTTGGCACGGGTCCTGCTATCTCCCGCCCGTCGCCACCTCAGCCATCCCACTTGCTGAGCCACTTGCTTGGCTGCCGCCTCGTTATTGAGCTCAGCGGCATGCTCTCTGTCGTCGCTTCGATTGGTCTTAGCACCTACGCCCTCCTAATTGTTGCCTCGTACCTCGAGACGGACTTTTTCGTGCCCAACTTCAACACGGCAGCACCTATCCTCGTCGCCATCCTCAACCACAACCTCGCTCTCTCAAGGTTCGGCAACATCGACGTCCTTGCACCCCAATCCGCCTTCGTACCGTCACTGCAAGGCACGAGCCCGGCGTATCCGCGCCTCATCATGTACCACGAGCTCACGCGTCTCCTCGATGGCGTGCGGGGTCTGCGCCGCCTTGACGCAACGCAGGTCGTCAAAATGAGCTCGCCGTACTGTTGGGCCGACCTCAACAAGACGTACGAGCTCGCATACACTGCAAAGCGCCAAGCACGGTGTGCACAGTACGAAGCCACAAACGGCGCCGTGCACCTCGAGACCGTGCTCCGCAACATTGATTTCAGTGGCTTTCTGGACGCGACCCAAGGTCTCTTTCTGTCGGCGATCGCCCATCCGATTGCGCGAAGCGGACCCGCTGGCGCAGCTTGGCTCTCATCTCTAGAGACACATGTGTGGACAGCCGAGTCCGACGAAGTCGCACTTTGGGCGTCGTACGGTCTCGACC